GATTGTTTATGTATAAAAAACAATCTTTGCCGTCTCATTAATATGGAACACATGTAGATAAATAAACAAGTAATACATATTTTATAATAAAATATAAGTACATATTTAATTATAATTATTTCAATAACTCATACATAATTAGAAAAATAAATAAAACAATATTTAAAGCAATATTTAATACAATATTTAAAATAAAAAATTAATAAAAAATAAATCCAAGACTAGTAGTTAAGTGATCGGACAACAATTTGGATTTCAAGATCGAATCAGTTCGTATTTCATGGTAAAATTTCTTATTCGAACAGAATCTATGTAACAGAAAAATGCAAATAACAATTGCATTCACAAACTTCTAAAATAAAATTATTTTGTTAGATTTTATATTGTGTAATGAAAGATTATTTTGTAATTTACAATGCTCTGCGCATTGCTCGGAACGATTATACACACACCTACTCATTATTTAGTTACATGTTAAATTTAAAAATTTTGCAATATTCAACGTTGGCCCTAGTTATGACACGCGCGGTAAATGAATGAAAAATAGGTGACCAGAAAAATCGGATATAAGTTTAACTAATATTGAACACTGTTACAAAGCAATGAAAAATCATTTCGATACATAATGTTCATCTTGAGAAAAATTAAACGTTTCTTTTTTTTACATTTTACAAGATCATAATAAACATTTGTAAAATATAATTAAATATAAAACATAATTTTCTTATAGATATGTATTTTTTTTTCAAATAAATATATTATATATGTAACAATTATTATCACATGCCATATGTATCTGTGTGAGTACAATCAAACTCAAACTACATTTATATGAATACATGAATTTTATTTATATTATTTGCACATGCAAACCTATCTACCAAAACTTAAATTTAACACGCAAATTACAAGAACATTAAATTCGTAAAAAGTTCTAGAAATTTTTAAATAAGCGTAACAGCAATGTAATAAAATACAATTTGTTACTTGTAATACCTTAAATAAAACATTAATTTCATAGTTGAAGAATTTGTAAATAAAAATAACATTAAAATGATAAAATGATACAATCTGTTACACGCTTGAATTATTTTAAAGGTAACGTTAAATTTGTAAACGAGAAACTTTTAAATAAGCTAAAAATTAAATTCTAAAATGATAGAATTTCTTACATGCTTATAATACTTTAAGACGATATTAATGACAAGATTGAGAAATTTTTAAATAAGTATAAAATAATGAAATAATACAATCTCCTTGTTCGTAATACTTTAGAGTATTGATACATTATTTACTAAAAATTCAAGTTTAAACGGAACATACGTACAGATAATATATTGCAAAAACATAATCTGTTCAAATAATTAACATATTTCTATGGTGATATTCGTACTTTTCTCTTCTCTTCGTATTTAAAAAATTGTGTATGCTTTTTTTCTACTTTTTACATAATAATTCAAAATCATTTCATAAAGTCATATAAAATGTAGACATCAAAACTCTTCAAAAATTATTTACACCAGCATTGCAAAAAGGAACTAAAGGAATATACATTTCGTACATGGATTTGGAAATACTGTCTTTTTATGGACAAAAAAGCAATACTTCTATGCCCAACTGCGAAATACATAATCCTCCAATTCTTTCCTAATATGGTCCTATTAGTGATTCGCTAAAGATTCTGATTTCTACTTTTTTCATGAAAATATTGTACAAAAAAATAATATTTTCAGGTCCAATTGCAAAATATATAATAGCAAATTGTTTTTTCTTCAAATATCGAGTGACGTAGACATTATATGTATTTTAAGCTACAATTCGATACATTTTGAACAAATACTAATGATCCGATTTTTATTATTTTTATTATATATGTACTGAGTACGTCACTCGAAGATTCGTCACTATAAAAAGATCATTATATTATGTTATGTTATAATCATAAAGTCGATTTACTTTTTGTAAATATATAAACACAATTATTGATTTTAAAGCGTAATTTGAAGCATATTTTGTTTTGAGATTATAAATATTGTTTAAAAGTATAAATATGGTTTATAATTTTATAAATTTAAAAAATTGCATTTAAATTATAAATATATAAATATATCTAACTTTATAAATTTTATATATTTATAATCATAAAGCTGATATGCGACAAATAAGTCAAATTATATGCCAATGTCTTCATGTATTTCAAATCACTTAAGTCAAAGTCAAACCATGCTAATTAAAAGTGTCGCTGCCATCATTTCCAGTTATCAAACTCTATGTCTCGTTAAATCTATATAAACATATATAATATATCAGAAACAAATAGTAATTACTTGATTTTTGTTATTTTTATATATTAAAAACGCCACTCAAAGAATAAAATGTAATGATAATAATAATATGATAACAATAATAATTAATAAAAATATGATTGAAACTCACGTTTATTATTCTTTTAGGCCATCTGGCTTGTCGACGGAATAGCTTGTTGATTTTTAATGTATATTTGATTCGTTTTATATTTCATTTTATGTTGATTTAACACGTGACTTTTTAAATAGCTCTTCTGCCACACAAGTTCTACATCTTCTTCACAAATTGTACATTTCGCCAAATTTCCAAGTTGTCTCATGTATTTAAATCCCCAATAAGCATAATAGGGGAGCAGCTCTCGAATCTTATGTTTTTACAAATGGAGAACTTATTTGGCAGAATTTCATGACATACCATACATTCTAATTCTCTTGCTTTATCATCTATGAACCTCATACCTTTCCAGCCTATTTCTCTTTCTTCCGTCGTCTCCATATATTTTTCATAATCGGAAATATCTTTATGCTTACTCATGTGCTCCTCAATTGTCGTATTGGAGACATATAAATAACTGTCCCCACAATCCTTACATTTTGCTCGAAAATCCTCTTCAGCTATTGTATAAAAATATCCAACCACCACAACTTTCCATTAATTTTGGTTTTCCACATCTCTACGTCTCGTTTAACGTCTACTATTACATCATGTTTTCGAAGGTGATCTCTTAAATTTTCAAGCATCAACGGAAACCTCATTTTTGTGTCACAAAGCTTACATTTTCCAAAAAAATTATTAACTTTCTCTGCGTTGATGTATTTCCAAACCCAATCTTGTGATTCATAAGGCTTCAGATGTTTTTCCTTCTTATGATATTTCGATACGTGACGTTTTAAGGAATCGTTTGACGTTTTTCTACGCTTCACTTTATCACATACAATACATCTTGCTTTTCCTTTCTTTGTTAGATTAAAATATTTCCACATATCATGCTTTTGTTGCATATCGCATTCCATGTTAACTTCAGATTGATGCTCATCAGACATGTGTTTTTTAAACGCATCAACTTTCGCGTATTTAATATGATTTCGGCAAATTTTACATTTCACTTGAAAATTGCGGTTTGATTTCTTTTTTAGATAGTTTTCATTTATCCAGGAAAATTCTTCAGCCCTTGATTCCCAAGACATTGTGTCTGATCTGTACGATAGAACGCGTTTAACTGAAGACGATGCGAATATTATTTCGTTGAAAAGTGCCTGATGGAAGTGGTCGAAGAAAGAGACGTATAGTTTCTCTATTTGAACGTAAATATTGACAGCGTTTAAACCTACCTAACAGTTATCAAGAGGAACGGTAGGATGCGAATGTATAGTAATATAACAATTTTGCGAGCGAGCAAGTTGAAGGGGGGGAGGGGGAAACATTACAGCAAATCAGTAACACAGATAAATAATATTTTCCAAATAATGCAAAAGTTGTTCTCTTAACGAAATTTATAACCTTCAATTAATATTCTATTATCT